AAGATGTCCACCACGTATTCTTTGAGTGCCCTCGTTTCCATCGGCAGATGAACCAACTTAAACTTGCCGTTGGAGGGGTGTTTACGCCACAGTCAGTAGTCGACTATATGGTGAAAGGAACCAGCGAATGGGCATCAACCAGCGATAAACTAACTTCGATTTTGAAGGAACTGAGGGACCTAGAGAGACAGCGGCGTATCAGCCGTACTTAAGCCAACTCTTAGCATAGCCGCGGACTGGAACTAAACTATGATGTTCGCCAACCAAAGCGTAGGCGCGGACTGGAACCTAGGCCGTTCCAGCCGCTCGAGCAGTGCGGCTTAGAAAGTTGTGCTTTCAGACCGCACCTTGAACATGAAATCTAACAATTACAGCGCATGCGCGGACTGGAACCTAGGGCGTTCCAGCCGCTCAGGTGGCAATCTCGAAATTTTGTGAAATCGATAAATACGCGCGGACTGGAACCTATGGCGTTCCAGCCGCCCAAGTGGCAATATCGAAAAACTATTGCAATCGAAAATAGGCGCGGACTGGAACCTAGGGCGTTCCAGCCGCTCAGGTGGCAATCTCGAAAAAATTTTTAAATCGATAAATATGCGCGGACTGGAACCTAAGGCGTTCCAGCCGCCCAAGTGGCAACCTCGGAAAAAATTTTTGCAATCGAAAATAGGCGCGGACTGGAACCTAGGGCGTTCCAGCCGCAAATAAAGTACAGTTTCGAATTTCGTCCACACGGGGCGTTGGTGCGGATTGGAACCTAGACCGTTCAAACCGCAAAGGCAATATACATACGTATGCGGGCTTGAAACTCGTCGCATAAGGCAGTTTAAGGTATTTTGCTCTTACTGTCTATAAAGGCGAAAATAATAAGTTGTATCTAAGAGATAAATGAATAAATAAATAATAAATAAATAGTTAAAAAAGGGTAATTATCCTTAAACAAGACGTGGCAAAGCTTACCAGGCGTAGCCCAGGACTGAGTACAACCGACTGGAACGAACGTGCGAGTCTAGTGCTCAACCGCCTCCCGACGAAATACTTGACGGTGGTACCGGGGGG